ATGTAACAATTATTAAAAAACGCAATTATGTACTGACTCTTATGTGTAAAAATTGTCTAGACCTCTAGACAGTCAATGGATTTAACTAAACACAGAATAATCAGTACACATTTGCATTTATTCAAATAATTGCTATTCCTGTTTATTTCTGTTGTTGTTCGTGTTATCAAAAAAATATATTACCATAGTACAGAACCTCATACCATGGAGTAATATATATATACCATGGAGTAATATATGTATTTAGTTCTTATTTTTAATATAAATAGGGCAACTAGAAGTAACGGTTTTATTTAATATAAAAAAATTATATAATGTCTCTTGTAATATGAATTTTTATCATAAAAGTTCTAAACTCAGTTCATATATATTATTTCAATATCAAATTGAAGATTTTACTAGTATTTTTAACTTCCCGTAGGGTAAGTTATTGTAATGGGCCGAAAATCGGAATTTAAATTTTTTACATTTCTCGACGTTTTGAAGGTTTCTGAACATTTTGGCATACCTCAGAAAAAATGGATGTGTGTGTGTGTGTGTGTGTATGTATGTGTGGATACAAATTTCCAGTCACGTTTTAGGGCGCACGGATTAACCGATTTGAATGGTTCAAAAAACATCCGATTCTTATTGATAGGGAAAAGAGCTGATTAGTTTTTGGCAAAGGCAGGTCCAGCCGTTTCGGAGATACGGAGCAAAGAGTGCAGAAAATAGAAATTGTATTTTTGAGAGAACGGAGTATCCGATTTGAATGATCTAAAAAACATTCAATTAGTAATGATTGGGAGAAGTGTTTATTAGTTTTTGGCAAAGGCAGGCCCAGCCATTTCGAAGATACAGAGCTAAATGTACAAAAAATGACAGTTTTTGAGAGAACTAAGCGTCCGATTTAGATGATTCAGAGAACTGTTTGCTTGTTTTAACAAAATAATTGATTTTGGAAAAAAATTGTTTCAAAATTTTTTTTTTCATTTTTTTTTTCAAAAAAAATTTTTTTTTTGTATATCGAAAATAATTCAGATTTGAATTTTAATTCTAACTAAAGTTCTAATATACTTTAAACAAATAATTTCAACTTTGCAATTCAGTTTACATAATTTTTATGAATGTTAGACAATGTTACAGTATGTATTTATAATAGTCTATTTGAAAACATTTAATATTCCTCGAACATTTCGTTACGGTACGGGAGGTTCCAGCAATTTGCCTTAAGGCACGATGCCATACACCCCACTAGTTTCAATATCAAATTGAAGATTTTAAACACACACTAGTATTTTATATTTATTATTTATATCTATCTTTGAAACTAGTATTTTTAATATTTATAGTTATATTATCTCTATAGTTTTATTAAGTTAATAAGGCTGCTGAATATAAACTATTTTTATGTCTATCAGACAAGTAAATGTTTTGCTATTTTTAGTGAAGAGATTATTCAAACTAATTTTAATAATGTAAATAATTACATAATAAGTATGTAAACAATTTAAGCAAAACACGCCTGACCAGATACTAGTTTATAAACAAGAGAATTTCACAATGAATATTATGCGTGAACTGGCGAATAAAACCATTTAGCGTTTTTTTAATGGCAAATTAAATGTCGATTAACATAATTTTCAGTTCGTTATTATGAATACGCTTGACAAAATGTTTACAAGAAACTTTATAGGTCTACCTCATAAAGTAACGCTTTTGTTGACATATGCAATCTTGGAATTTTATTTTTTCTAATTATTTTAGTTCCACATTGTTTGTTCAGTTGATTGCGAATATGCAAACAGTTGGTTTAGATTCTAGTAAGAGACTTTGAAAATATGGTAAACTAATTAATTAGTAATGCTCATTAGGAAACAAAAATTCTTTCACCATGCCAGCATATTTAATTGTATCTAGGTTGAGGACGATTCATGATTTATGTCATAAATTTGATCAATTTGTGGACAGACGTTACTAGAACTTTATCTCCAGCAACACTTGGTTTATAAGAAATTGATTGATTTTGTACGAGACGAGACATTCTATTAGATCTATTTATTGACCATGATGTATTAAGATAGATGATTGCTCAATGTTATCAAACCAGTGAACATCAGTACTTTTGTAATAAATTATAAGGTTACCGCAATTAGAACAGAATTAATTAATTTACCAGCTTGAAAAAATAATGAATATTAATTGCAAACATAGCAACAACACTTTAATTATTAATTTATACTATATCCAAGAAGTTGACTTCAAAACTGATCCTAAAATATACATTTTATCGCATTTTATTTCGATGGTCAGAATTTATTATCCCATACTATATATTAGCAGATTTCCATCAATAGTTTACATAATTTCGATTGATGTATATTATTTTAAGTAGTTAATTGGTTTAAACGTTTATATAAATAAAACACCAGTTAAAAATAAAAATCATACAAAATTATAGACATATCGTATGTTTATTTTAGCCCACATATGTAGGTATATGAATCATCCAAAATGTAAATTTGACATACGACAAGCATAAATCTCAATATATGTAACTTATATATGTAATAAAATACGTGACACGAAACACATAAAATATATGCGCCTTTATAAAATCATACTTACATATAGACCGTGAATGAGAATAAGATAAAGGTTTAAATGCGTGGGATGAATTCAGGTTTTGGCGGAAAATTTAATTATACTCATTAGGTTTTCAATGAATAAAATTATAACATAGCAAATGGAATATATTATCATCAAATTTACTATATTCATCTACATCTCAACGTACTTATATCTCAACTACAATCAACGTACTTAAATTCATTTTTTTTTATAAAGGATGGTCGAATGATTGGTATTAAACGTGATCTTAAAGAAACATTTCAGAGAAAATATTTTGTATAAAGTTATTAGAATATGAATGTATTTATGCTTTTACTCTTATTGTTAGAGATATATTGACAACCTTTTCCAATATAGCAACAATCACAATCATTACAATCCACTTTGGAATCTCTATGTTCACGAGTTTTGGATTTCAACTCATATTCTATACATATATTTATGTATATATACGTATTTGTTAAACTACACTATGTATGTGGTATAAATCAAATATTTACCACCGAATTTTGGTCAAGCATTTCCACATTATAGAATGTGTCACAAATGAGTTTTAGTTTTTGATCCCACCGTGCTTTGGAGCAGATCGAATTGCTGCTGCATGGGCAGTTTATGCGTATAAACAGAATTTAATTAAACCTGACACAAAAAGGGATCTTTGTAAATTTTGCACTGTACACTGGCCATGTTTACCACAATCTACGCTGATCCTCCTTCACATAGTTTTGCTTTTATTAACTTTAAACCTATTGAAGGTTTTCACTTCAACGTATCATGTTATATATTTAGAAAATACTTATTTGCAGGGAGTTTAGATGTAAAGGTTCGATGAATTTTAAATAGTAGACATACATGTTATATTTTATTTTTTTCTCAAAATGCAAGGATTTTTTAAAATTAATTGCTTTTTGGGTGTAAAATAAAATAAAATAAATTTGTAATTCCTCTGAGTTAACAAAACAATCACAGAATATCAATGAGTATTTTAGCACTTGACCCAATTTTACGACTATTGGCATTTTAAATTAATTTGGTCATAAAACATCGACGTTTCAAATTAGGTATTAGCTCTTATACGATTAATCTTTTCTCTGCGAATAAATCTAATTAAGAGTGAGTGCTGAAACACTTTTAATCAAAACCACATATTTAAAATAAATTCTCAGAGCATATGTAAACAAAACTTAGGCGAGATATCTATGAAAAGCCAAAGAAAAAAAAAATTTATAAGGTAAGTTAGCTTGAGATAGATCGAGATAGATCTCACTTTCTGTATATACTAGTTTTTAAACAGACTCTAATACGACAATTAAAAATCTATTGAAAAGTTTTGTCTAAATTTTGTTTAATAAGTCATGCATACGTTTCGAGTTCACATTTGACCCTTCTTCGGTGCACAGACGTAAAAGATACTAACAATCTTAAAAACCCGAAATAATGAAAAAAGACGCGTATAAAATCATTCGTACAAAAAAAATGATTTAAAAAGTACTGATAGTTGTAGTATTAAGTGCAAATTAGATAGGAACGATATATTTATCCTTAAAGCGTTAATCACGTGATCGATTTTTTAAGGATTTTAGGACCCCCCCCTTTGGTGATATGTGGTATCCTCTGACAATGCCGCATAATTTTATGTCAAAACGTGTAAATAATAAATATGCTTAAATATCTATATCTTCTCTTTTTTACTTGATCATCAAGCTGAAAGCATGAAATTCAAACATCAAACATGAAATTTGAAAAATATCACATCAATTATTAGTAATGTTCAGACATAATAATCTGGTTCATTAGTATGTTTTTCGGTATTTAAAAATACATCAAGTCAAGCCTAAATTTTTGCAATCCTACCTCAAACATGTATTTCGTAATTTCATTATTAACCGATTTTATATTGTCAATCATTTTTAGTAACCAAATCACTTTAACTGAAAGTTAAAATCAGTTCAGTTGATATGAAAGTGCAACTTGCCTAAAGGCAATTCCCGAACTCTAATTTGCATGTGATATATCATTTGAAAGAACTCGAAATGTACAACACAAATTTAGTATTTGTTGCTAATTTGCATCAACGTGTAAGATAATTATCTGGAAATTCATATTGACTGAAAGTACAACTTGCCGATATGCAAATCTTGAACACTATTTCCTTGTAATATATCAAATGAAAGATGAAGAGAAGAATACTAATTTAGTACTGGTGCCACATATCAATTTTGGTCAATTGGTGGTATGTAAGAATGAATCCATTGTCCTTTAAGAACACTATATTGTGTCATTTCATTCACAATCTATCTTTCCAATTAAATTCCTTAACTATCATATCCAACTATTCCCCTTCGGCACAATCGATTATATTAATATTATTGCAAGGAATATTCACTCACTGTTCCGTGTCCGGCGGAGATTGTGATCTAAGTGCCGCATATAATGTTATGACAATCCCGGGAGCCGTCCAGCCCAAGGGTATCAGATAGTGTAATAATTTACGCTCGCTGGCGAACGCCGACACCAGGACGGTATGGAGATACAGGCCTTCCATAGCCATCCAGGAATAGTTCGTCAGGAGGAAGTAGTGGAGGATCACGTGCAAAACTCGACAGCCAATCTGAGGAATAAAACAGAGATTGATTTGAAAACTTTCTAATAAGTTATAAGTGTACATATTTCTAAAATTTAGGAGCATTCAAAATTAAATGTTTAATAAAATTCATTGTTATGAATCGATAAGAATTATATAATTTTTTTATACATTGTTGAACAGCAATCAGAACATGTTGTTGTTCTATAGTTATTTGGATAAGTTATTTAACTCAAGTAGTGAGTATAAAAAATTGGCTTGGTAGATGACCCTCCATTGAGGATCACTACATTCTAGAATGATAAAATTCAATCCAAGTTTTTTCGTACCTAAATATATAAAATTATATGCATTCCCCAAGGATTGGTAATATAAATTCCCAAGCAATATTAAATACAAGAAGCCTTGAAATATAAATTATTCGCAATAAGATAATTTAAGGGGCACAACTAGTGTGAAATTTTCAAAAAATCGAATTTTCAATTTTTCCATATTTCGATAGGTTATACCTTTAAAAATAATACATCAAAATTTTAAATCGATATCTTGAATAGTTTCTGAGTTACAGCCATTTAAAGAGTATATATATAGTATATAGTATAAAGATAATTTTATCTTTAAACGTGTTTTTCTCGAAACAGCATTTTCCGAATTTGCTGCAGCGATTACTCAAAAACAAATCATCCGATCACTATCAATATTTTTTTACATGTTCTATATATAGCTCTCCGTAAAATTTGAACAATAGATTTTTTGATCGGATCAAAAATCAAATTTTGGCAGTCCAAAAACGACCAAAATTTTGGGTAAAGTTCGACTTTTTTTAAAAAAAACGCCGTCATTTTGTCAATTTTTGATTTTTTTTATTGCAGTTCATTTTACAGGCAATATTATCTAGTTTAACAAAATTTTTTTTTAAAATTTTATCCACGTAGAAGGCCGGAATCACTGCAGCAGTGAAGGGCCTTTTTTGTCTCGCCGTTGGAGATCGACGATAACTTAAAAAATAGTTGATTTTTTTCTTCAAAAATTTTACTATGTAGTCTTAAAACATGTATAAACATATTCCTAAAATTTTGAAATGATTAGAATAGTTTTTTTGATACAAATTCCCAAAAATCACCTTTTTTTAGGAGGTTACACTAGTTGTGCCCCTTAATATAGGCAACAATCAGTTACTTCATTTTATATAAAGATCTGCGATTCGATTTTAAATAACTATTATCGTACCATATTATCATAACGATTACTTTTCATATTTTTTTGGACAAATTATATAAAAACATAACTAAAATTCAACGTATGTCACATTCAAATTCAAATTCACCGTATGTCTAATATTCAGGTAAAAATATAGTAGTTCAGAATATATATATATATATATATATATATATATATATATATTTTATTCTTTAAAGAAAAAAGTTGGTGTTTGACACGCGCTTGAAGAAATTGTACTAGTGCATCCTTCGTAGAATTTTCCTACTTTCATATTTCCGTCGAACTCGTTACGTATCCAAATAGAAGAAAAATATTACAGAAGTAAAAGATAACATCAAAAGAAAATTTTAGTTAAAGAGCATATGGAGGTAAAATTGCATTATAACTATCAGCAATGCAGCGCGAATATGAAAATTCAAAATCTTATTTTCTTATGTAATCATTGCAAGATCCAACATCGCAACAACTTTGCGATGGCGAATAAAATAAATAATAAACAAACATTAGGAGATATGAAAGCTACATCGCCACGTTATAATCTTTGCTTTTGGACATTTTTATTGTGACGTTTTCAAAGTTTCCGGAAATTAATTCTGTACCCAGGAGAGTTTAAGAGAACCCTTTTGAGAGAAATGAAACCGACGAACTATGGGAATTTTCTTTGAAAATCTATAAATTTAAGAAGTAAATGGATATATAATATTTCTTAATAGGCAACCTGAAGCGATAAGTAGGTATTGAATATAACAAGAAAAATGACTGAATTAAATTTTAATAAAATATATGTATATTACATAGTCCTTAATTTAAAGCAACTGATAATAAATATTTCACTACTTATGTCCAGAAATATTTTAAAAATTTGATAAATATCCATCATTTTAATAAAATACATACATTTCCCAAAGAAGTAATATAAATTATCAATATGTCATGGCAACAATTGCAGAATCTATCTGTTTTGCCATCATAATGAATGTTTGAATAAATAGTGTCATATCATTTGTAGATTTAATTTAGACGATATTATTCGCAAAATAACGTTATAGCAACAAATACAAATTGACTACTCAATGCTGAAATGATAATAATTATCTTCACTTCGAACAAATTAACAAAATCATTTCTAATTACTGATTCTTAATTCAATTTAGTAATAGACAAATATAAACGTTAATAATTGTATTAAGTCTTGAAAACATTCTTCATATTTAATATGAAAAACTACTGTTTATGAAATGCGTCTAAATTCAAAAGAAGTAACATGAATCATTATCATTTTGTGGAAACAACAACTTTATTTGTTTTGCAATCATAAGAAATACAAAGCTTTGACTATTCGTTGATAAAGTAAAGTAGTAATCAGCAACAGCCGTAGGCAACCAAAATAAAAAACAGATGTATTTAATATTTTGTTAAATAAAATGTAAATAAAAAAATAAAATGGAAATCAGTACAGACGAATTTAAGGACCATGATGTTGCTCATAAAAAGAACATTTCTCAGATTATAATTATTTATTTATTTATTTATTTATTTATTTATTATACGCCAATTATGCTGAAAAATATAATATATTGGTTCCCTGTGAAATTAAACAACTAGCTTATAGGCGAAATCAACGTATTTTTCTCATTTCTTGTTGATCTAGTGTTACGTTAATCGCTACGATATCAGAAATATTGTCACATAGGCCATGGTAACTTTATCAGATAATTTAGTTTAAAATATACCAAGAAAATTTGATGTATCAAAAAAAATTATTTTTGCAAAATTTTTTGAACAAAGTTTTCAGTTTTTTTCTTCTGTTAGGCTAAGCTTTCGAAACATACTGCTGTGGCTATTGACGTGACTTTGTACCAAATGTCTGGTATATATGTATAACATGGCTCATGTAGTACTTCTTGGCGTCAGACACATAGTACTGACAGCACGATTGAAGTGTTAAAGAATAACCAAATCAAATATATATTATAATTTAGATTAATTATTATTTAGTTTGACTTACCCCGTTGTCGATGATAACCTGAGGATCTGCGACGACGGTTCTGTACCAAAGTAGCCAAAGGGCGTTATTCAAGCCGAAAGAGGCGAATAAATTCATGTGCATCGTGATTCTGGCGCAGCGCAGCGATCTGAAAACAATTCAGTAATGCGATCAAATAAAACCCATGATGAAAAGACTCCTGCTCACTTGTTGAATGGAAATTCTAATATATTGGAATTCACCCTTTCCGGCATATATATTGTGTGCAAAATAGCTTTTCTCAAATAGTTTGTATGTAAACTCACAAATAAATAATATAAACTTTTCAAAACCAAATTTTATTTGTCTTCCCTATGTTCTGAATAGTTGTATTCATTGTAGCATGTTCAAGAGTATCTGGCAAAAATCGCACAAAAACTAAATTGCATAAAAAAGGATCGCACAACAACGGGTTTGACTGAGCATATGTAAACATGCATGAAAACTGGTGAAAAGTTTGTTGAGTTCAGAAAGTTTTCGGAACGCCCTCGTATATATATATATATCGTATATATATATATATATATATATATATATATATATATATATAACAAATGTATTCTGAGTCGATAGATATTAATTTAAAAATATGAACAAACAACACTCTTTTTTGCACTATTTATTAATTTTACAAACGTTTTGAGACTAGGTTTGTCTCATCATCAGTGCGTTATAATTTAAAATCTAAAACATGAAAATCTAAATTAGCATTATGTGTTATCCGTTACAAGTCATTCCTTTTACTCAGTTTTACTTTTACCTTTACCTTTATCTTTTACTCGGGTAAAAATGACTTGTAACGGATAACACATAATGCTAATTTAGATTTCTATATTTTAGATTTTAAATTATAATACACTGATGATGAGACATACATAGTCTCGAAACGTTTGTAAAATTATTATTTAATAAATAGTAATAAATACATATATATATATATTATATATATACATATACACTATGTATTTTATTTATTTATATCCCTTGCATATCTTTTACATATATATCCAAACATAGCTTTAGGGATGCATATGGGGTGCATATAAATCTGTATTTAAATTGAATGTATTATTTATATAGTAATCAATTTTAAATTTTTGATTGACCTTATTATCACTGTTTTAATTATGAAACTAGTAAGTGCAAAAGAAACAAAACAAGCTTTGTCGTGTAAACAAGTTTTGTTGTGTCCAATTTTAAAGTTAGCTTTGTTCCATTTTCTCAATCAATATTGCTTTATTCAAGTTGTAATGATTATATTATTTTAAATAATCGTGGGCAATGTTGTTTAAATCCTATTATATTCGGTATTAGATATTTGTCGACGAGTTCTCAGACCAGGACATAATGCCTAACTTTTTTCTTCACAGCTGATTTTTGTAATAATAATAGTGTTAGAAATTTATAATATTAGATGGTTGTAATAAAATATCAATATCAATATTATATATTTTTTATAATTTTTAATAGGCTTAATAAAATACAATAAACATTATCTATTTTATATAAGTATTGAAGTAAAAGCAAGTAGGTCAATAATTACAAAATCCCACATTACAAAATATATAATTTAAAAAAAATATTGTTATTTTAAAATATTTATTACCCCAAACACGAAGCTTAACTTTGCACGTTTTTAATTAAAAATGAACAAAGAAAAGAGGCAATAACTACCATCATATATCTTCGTTGTGAATTTTATAGCTACATGAATCTTTTCGCGGTCGTGTTACCTTTGACGTGAAACTATAAAAATCTATTTTTCAAAAGCATCTGAACAAGACAAAAGAGCAGCTGTCGTCTTGAATAAACTACTTAATAATAGAAAATACTCTAAAAGTATATATATTCCTCATTTAAGTCACATCATCAATAGTGCCATTGATTGATACAAGTATCAATAGCTCTGAAATAACTTCAAATTAATTCGACAGCAACAAATGCTTTTGAAAATATATGTTCTGACATAAAATATCATATTTCAAACAACTTCTGCTGTGGATTATAATCTGCAGATAGCCGTAGAGAAAAATCCGATTGCAATGCAGCTTATAGGTAAATCATATTATAAAAGTAATATAAAGTTTTCATGTGTTTGGGTATGAAAAAGTATTTTTCATTAAATTTTCAATATTGCTTTCTGTACTCGATATAGATTGCAAAATCAAATAAATATCTAACTGTATTGGATATGGTAAAACCCATGTGGAACGAACCTATATAACCGTTATGGGGCGCTGGGATTGTAAATTTAATATTATTTAATGAATAGTGCAAACAAGAATGCGTTATAAAATATTTATATATATATATAAATATTTTAATTTTTTATTTACATATGCGATAAGACAATATGTATGTTTTTACAACAGTGACATTTAAAAAAGAGAGTAGGTACATGGAAATTGTAAAAGGCTAACATATTGAAAATGACGTGCAGTGTAGGTAGAAGGATAATTACACGATAAATTATTCAGAATTGTAACAAGTATTCTATGGAAACTGTGTTAAATTACGTGGCGGAAGTAATAACTGTCAGAATTGTGACGATCAATGTGTACTAGACGCTCACCTAGGCTTTGACGATGAATATGAGGTAGTGTCACATCAAATGCAAGCGAATAACACGGTGTGAATGGATTACGAATATTAAATTAGAATTTTATAATTATTTTATAAAATATGTTTGTATAAAACCTAGTTATTACACAACGAATTAATTAATAAGCCAACGCAAAATTCATTGAAAGCTTTGGATTACCAATTTCATTCATACTTTCATCAATCAGCGTTTATCAAAGATTTTATATTCCATGTAAATAACATAAATTCAATAACATAGATTTTTCGTAGTGCATTTTTATACATTTTTACAATAAAGATCATTCATAATTTAATTATTGAGAAATAATAAATAACTATCATTTGTCAAATATTTAAATAATATAATCAGAACCTTATAACTGTTTAGAACAGTTTTAAATATATAAAATATTTAAAACTGTTCTAAACTAACACTTAAGGGAGCGTCCAATTAATCACTTAAAGTTTTTAGTGTGAAGGAGGGTTTGACAAAAAATTACGAAATATCACGGGGGAGAGGGAGGTGTATAGTAAGATATCATTTTACCTGATTTTTTAAAAAAAATCCAAACTTTTTTAAAAAAAAAAAAAATTACCATTTCTTCTCGTAACTAAAAATACACGTGATGTTTGGTGGGGGAGGGGGCGTAATTTTGAATATCACCACCACTAAGGAGGTGAGGAGAAAAGGGGGTCCAAAAATCCTAAAAAAATCGATCACGTGATTATTGGATTGGCCCCCAAAGTCTCTAGAAAGGTCTAAAATTTGGATGGCGTTGAAGCTTAATAAATTCTTTCGTGAATCTTAAACCTATTCCGGTTAGGTTTTATAAAATTTAAACATATTTTGATTTTCTTCAATATGTACTTCTTACATTCATTAAATTCAATTATATTCTGTTAAAATAACATAAATTATAATTATTATAAACAAAATCAAATCAGATAATTAATATATACTTATTTAAAATAAAAATGCTATTCGATTTAATTGATAACCCGTAACGATTGAAAAAATTGCTTACCGAAGTTGACTCTATTAATAATAAAAATTATTAGTCAATTGTAATGCTAAATAATAAAATGCCAATAACCATATTAGAACATATCAATATCAACATTTTTAAGAATGTAAAATACCCTTAGGTTAGAAAAACATGTACATAATTATATTTATTTGTATCATATCCCACATAATGCAATACAACATTTCAAAACATTTTTAAGACGAAATCAATATAATTTTTTATTATTATTATATTTTATTGTTTTAATGTATATCTATTTAACACGTTAATCGCTACAACAACATCAGAAAAAGATTGAAATTAGCGACGGTAACTTTATTAGATAATTTAGTTAAAAATTCATCAAGGAAATTTAACGTATCTTGCTAAAAGATTAAAATATATTAAAAATCCTTTTTGCCAAAATTTCTGTAGAAACATTGTTTTTTATTTCACACATATATGTATGACATGCCTCATGTACAACTTCTTAGCGTCAAACACATATGTATTTACTCTATTACATGCCTACTTCTACTAAGTATAATTTATACAAAATAATATAATATGGTGATCCATACAAACAAAGTTAAATAGGAAAATTCATATTTACAAACACTATAATTACATTTACTTGCAAAACTCTTTAGCACATTCTCTAGAAAGCAAGTCAGTGCAAATATTTGTTAAGATTGCAATATCCCTAACGACAGTAGTTTTAAAACTTGTTCATTCAAAATCATATTAAATGCAAATAGTAATATAATAACTTGCAAACTTGCAGACTAAATATGATTCATTTGTTTGTAAAATATAATAATAAAATTATTTATACTCCTCATTACGAAATTTTCCTAATTTGATAACAAGAGTTCGTAAACCTGTAGTAGCTATCTCTCTAATTGTGCTGCAATTAAAATTTAATCAAATTAACTTGTCGAAAATGTTTTCTTACAAGCATGGAACTTAAGGATGTAGTCTTTAAGTCGATCCTTGCAATCTCCAAAATCAAGTCTTGATTCTATATAATCTCTTCATAAATCCCTTGAGTCAAGCAAAGATTACATGTAAGCTTAATTCCGTAGATTCAGAAAGTCACGTGCGCCTAACATTTCATGTTAATTCGTGACGAACAAGTTTCATACGATGACGAATTAATAAATAAACAACGAGATGTATTTGTCATTTATGTACTTATTCAAATTGCTGGAATATATTAAAAATTCATATACTCAAAGTTGATGTTTAGTCTAAATTTAGAAATTTATTATATAAATGCTTATATCGACTATATATGTTCCTAAAAATCTGATTTAATTAAATTTCTATACCACGTGAAATATTTGTAATTGATTTAACTTATTCCAATTGCAGGAATATATTAAATATTTAAACATTGATACTGATGTTTATTACAGTGCTATTCATTCATTTATTATAAAGCTTAAAACTACGCCATGCCAAACCATATCCTAAAATACTTTTAGCTCTAATTGGAACTTTATTCATTTTGCGTATA